TTCATTAATGTCGACGAGTCAAGCCGAGCTCGAGCCCAGTTTCTTATCGAGCAGACCTCGAGCTCAATAAATGAGCTCGATAAGTAAACGAGCCTAACTTGAACTCAGCAAAACTCAGCTCAGCTCGGTTCGTTTCGTTTACAGCCCTAACCATATGAAATAGTATTCAGTCGTTTATTACAGCAACATTACTTTTGAACTGCTTAGGCTTGGTTTGAGAAGTGGGTTGGCTTTTTGACTTTTTGACTTTTTTGGCTATTTTAACCTGGGCTTAAAAGCTTGGTTTGGGAAGGACTTTTTGACTTTTTTGAGTTTTTTTGTGAGAGAAGAATGTAATGATTATGGATTGAATGTGATGTTTTGTTTGTTATGGCTAAAATAGCCTATTTTGTTTTTTGTGACTAAAATAGCCAAAAAAGCCTGCAAACCCACTTGCCAAACATAGGCTAAATTCGTTGGGTCATGTATTGTCCCACGGACAAATGTTGCTTGACAATTCAAGATCAAACAAATTTAAACAGTTTAAAAGGTAGAATTGTCGGACATAAACTCTTTAACTCTATCTTTTTTTGGCTCTATATTTCTAAACAAGAAGCACCAAAGACATCTGATACATCATCAAAATGGTAACCAAAATACACTTTTAGTTAGAAATAGGCCAATCTGTGCTTACATCAAGCCCATCCGCCCAAACACATTTTGGCCTTTTCTGAAGACCACACTATGACTGCATTTACAGCGCAAATGTAAACCCAATGAACCCATTGCAACGCCGCTCAAGGGCTGTGCAATCCTAAAATTGCATGACCAGTATCATTGATGTTTATGGAGAATCAATGATTCATCCAAACACCAAAGAATCTCAGATGACATTAAAAGAGTGAGGAAGAGGGGGGGAAAAAGGGAGGGAGAAAACCTTATCTGCTTCCAAACAAGAATTTTAAGAGTTATGGTGTTCTCAATGACGCTTTTTACCACCACCTTTCTTCTTTCCTTGGTTCTTTTTACCACCCTTTTTCTTCTTCCCTTCATTATCAAATGCGTAAGTATTGATATCACGTTCTTTAGGTGCAGACTGTTTCATCAAACGCTTCACATCCAGAACACCATTTCTGAAATGACCTTCAGTTGACTTCAGAACCATGTCTTCACGCTTGCGCTTCTCTCCTACTTTCTTAGTACCATTGCCAAGCTTCGCTCCAAATCGTCCAAGTATCAAATTCTAAATAAAATAAAAAATAGTTAGCACTGCCAGATTGCAAAAAGACAAGTAATATAGCTACAGACAAAACAACGCAACACAATCAAACAACCTCTTGGAGCGTTTTCTGGTCTCTTTCTTTCTGTTTCTTCATTGTAACTCGTGCTACACTTAGTGGTAACCTCTGCTTTTTGGGAGGCTGTGTCAAAGGAAAATGTGCTTAATAACAAGGTTTAAATAAATAAAAGTTTTAAACCAAGCTACGTCAAAAGAAAATATTGAAGGGACAAGTAGTTTTCACCTTTCCACCAAGAGCAACAACCTTCCTGTTTTCCAATTCCTTCCTCTCTCTCCATGTCATATGTGAGGGTACTGAAATGGCAAGATAGTAAGCAAACAGGCAAAGTTAACAGGGACACTACTCAACAGAATGCAACCTAAAAGCAAATGCAAACAATTCAACATTGTCACCATTGGGAAGAAACTATAGCCACAGATTGATTACATTCAAGCATGAAAGAAGTAGATCTACCATTAAATGATAAAAAAACTACAATGCATGATTTGATTTACTAGCCATCAGATATGTTTGTGTTAAAAACTAAATGATCTATCATTTGACAGCTTTAACTAACTACACAGTCCGAATAGCTTGTGTGAATTGTGAAAAAAAGGAAGACATTCACATCCATCAAAGTGTAATCACAAATTTACCCCAAAGTGCTCATAAGCAGGCATAAAATAGCCACATATAAGATAAATAGTATCATATTATCAATGAAATTTCTGGTCATACTCGCTTGTATAGATTATTAAGTGCATAATGGGTTGCATCAGGGACCAATCAACATGGCCTTGCCTCTGTGAGTTGGTACTGACAAAAACATCACATACCTTCATATGGGAAGTGGTAATCTACTGTTGATGCATAGGAAAACATAAGCATTGCTGCGGGATAGATGACTACTATGAACCATGTACATGCTTAAAAGATAAAGACATTACATCATATGGACATGCTAACACAATTCCAAAAAAAATTGGTCATGACTCATGGATACAATCAAGACATGATAACAAACTTACATGTCCGATGTATGCATTTATACATGAATGAATCTCTTCCTTTTTCTTTCTTTATTTTTTATGGTCAATATCTAAGATACAATGTGCTAGTTTGTACCATGCACTTTGCTCCAACACGCATGTCTCCATACATTGATGAAACTATCTCAGAACTTTGTCCAAAGATCCATACTTATACATTGACGAAACCGTCTCAGCAGTGTCGTTTTGAAGGGGTGTATAGCTTTATATTTCCCTGAAACCTAGTAAGGCTAAAATTACGATTTTTGTTGCAGGTCTTTTGTTGCTCTCAACGACAATCATCTCAATAAACCTACTTACATTCTTAGACCAAGTTAGTTTTGTGAGTCATTAGTGATTTTACATATATGAAGGGCTTCATAGGGAAAACCTTAAAAAGCACATCATAATGACCTTGTTGAGGTTTTCAATATGATATAAAATTGCTTTGGCCACTAATCTAGTCAAACGTCCAAAAGTTAAATTGAAATGAAGTTCAACTCCAAAAAATAGCTAATGGGAAATACTTAATTATTCATGGAAAGGTAGTAAAATCTCCAATATAAGGCCTGGCCTCATGGCCTCCACAAGGATTTAGAACCTCATAAGTAAAATAAGATGTATCAAAATTTTGCGTAAGTGGTAGCTACTAGAACTGATTTCTTCAGTAGCTTATATGAGAAAAGATGGTGGCTAGGTGTTTTCCAGATCACATCAACAGAAAATTCAGTTTCACAAAGTGAGATTGTTAACAGAACTCGAAATTATTCATTTTATGCAAATACAAGCTTAGAAAAGCTATTTGCAAAAAAATTTCCCCATGAAGCTCTTTCCACCACGGCAAGCCATGGTTAATAAGCCATTGTGGAAATTACAAAAAAAATAAGTGAATAAGGTTATTACAAACATAGCAGCAGAGGTCAAAGATTTGTGTTCATATTGAAGGAGTAACAGGCACAGCAATGGTGTACTTTTCTGTGCAAGGAATCAAATGTCAATCCAAGCAAGTTAAGTTACATTAATTGGATTCATCTCATTGGTTACTTCCACAAAATCCTCTAAATTTTGTCCTATCACATTCCACAAATGGTGACAATGCAATACACAGCCTTAAATCCCTCTCAATAATACACACACACGAAACCACATCAGGTGAGCTATTTAAACACAGATTTTATATTAGTTGAATGTGAAGTGTAAGAGACAAAAGGTAGTACCTAAAGATTCAATATCTTTCATAATGGACTTCATGTCCATTTTCTGGTCCTTGAAATCCATATAATTTGTTGGTGTTGCTGTTGTTGATGATGATCCTCCTCCTCCTCTACCCATTTGCTTTTTCTTAGACATTTTTGTACTGTTCGATTCAGCTGCAAAGAATAACCAAAAAAACAAGTTGTTGAAGGCAATTCATAAAATCCACAAAATGGACATGATTTACACAGTATCTCTAGATCATAGTTGTCAAAATTGAAAAGGAGAAGAAGAGTCTGAGCATCCATAGTGGGCTGCCAAAGGAGCTGTCATTGCCAAATTTGGGCAAGAGTTAACAAAAACAGGTCTCTAGTGGCATCCTATATTGGCCGCCACATTATAACAATGCCAAAGCTTGTGCCAAATTTAGCACAGGCTTTGGCAATGCTTTCCTTCCTTCCCAACTGCTTTCCTTCCTTCCCTGCTTCCCTTCCTCATCCTTTCCCAACAAAAACTCCCCCAAACAGAAAATAATATTTTTAAGGGCAAATTTTACTTAAACCTCCTTGTGGCCCATGTGTGGATCACACCCTCTCATTTAGAAATAACTACATAACCCCCATATACTCTATGGACTAAAACGTACAGTTGCAAATTCTGTTTAAACTAACTGGAGATGTAATACACACCTCTTTTGAATGTGGGTATGAACACAACAATTTTTTGAAACTAAAATACCATTACATTTTTTTAAAATAACTAAAGTGCCATTCTACTTTTCTATGGATCTTCTCTCCAGCAAACTCTCTATTCAGCAAATTCTTTTTGAAAAAAGTATATCCAGCTGCTAAAGACAATAAAAAAGAGAAGATTTTACGTTCTTCTTTACGAGAGTGCAAAATAGTGGCAAACAATCATAGGAATTTCAATAGTTCAAAAAAAAAAAAAAAATCATAGGAATTTCAATACCCATGGTACTTCTGCTGCCCAAGGAAGCCCCAAAAAATCTTGATTTCATTACCTATGATGGTGGGTTTGATTTCTTTGTTCAATTTTTGTTCATGGTTGTGGGTTTGATTGCCTTGATTGTGTTATGAACTTTAGTTGAATTATGGTAGGCTTTTCTCTCTGGACTGGTTTAGCAAAGGGTGACTAATCTTGATTTGATTACCTGTGGTGATAGGTTTGATTTCTTTGTTCAATTTTTATAGAATCTCTGGTTGATTGGTTTAATTACCTTGCTTATGTTATGACTATAGATTGAATACAGAATTTTCACTGGACCGGCTTTCCGATGATCACCAGCAATGGTCTTGCTTCCACTTTCCTCCACCATGGCAGTTTTGTTCCCCATTTCGGTGGGCCAAAACAGTGGCCAGCACCTTGCCCTTCTTCCTCCCAACTATCTGTGTCTCCTTGTCTCTTTCATTGACCATTGTGGCGAGTAATCCTTATATACAGGGTTAAAATAGACTGAAACAAAATTCAGTCTTATTTTGCCCTATTGTTTTTTAACAAAATTCACCAAAAAAAAAAAAAAAAACTAACTAACAGGCTGAAAAATCACAACAACAACAACAATAATCAAGCAATTTCAAACATATATCAAGCAATATTAAACAAATGTCAAGCAATCTCAACTAATCTCAAGAAAATTTGAAGCAATTCTCCATCATCAGAAAGACGATTTCAGAAAAATAAATACCTGGATTTCAAGCTGCGTGATGGATTTCAACAATCTCAAGCGATTTGGAGGGGTTTCTCAGGTGGATCGAAGATAGAGATCCAAAGGGTTTAGGGTTTTGAGAGAGATAGAGAGACAATCCCTACAAAAATGATTAGAGCTAAAAAAATCGGCTCGTAATCTGAATCGGTTTGACTAGCTCGGCGGTTTTATAGTAAGAGCTTAAATTCGGGGGCATTTTTCTAAATAAGTCAAAATACCAATTTAATTTTCAAACTAAGTCTAGTTTTGAAAGAATTCTCAAAATAAGTTAAAACGTGATTCACAATCACGTTTTCAACGTGTGTGCGCCTGTCTCGCGTGAAAATTAAAAAGTCTTAAAAGCGTGATTACAAAAGACGCTTTTGATTAAGAATGCGTGGTTACAAAATGCGCTTTAATTAATTTTTTTTTCTTCTAAAATTGCTGTTTTGAACCACACTTTTATTCATAAAAAAATTTCTTCTGAAATTGCTTTTCTGAGCCACGCTTTTATCCAACAAAATTTTTCTTCTGAAATCGCTGTTCTGAACCACGCTTTTATCCAAAAAAAAATTTCTTCTGAAATCGTGGTTATGAACCACGCTTTTAGCTTAAAATTTTTTTCTTCTGAAAGCGCGGTTCTGAACCACGCTTTTTGGCAAAAAAAATTTTTAGTTTCAGTTTAACTGAACTCTGAAGAAGAAATATTTTTTTTTTGTTTTTTGTTTTTTTTTTTTTCTGTTGTCATTGTTTTGGTGATAATGTATTTCAGAATAATTTTTTGGATTAAAATTGTTTTACTAAAACCGTTCTCATGCTAATTTTTTTTTCTTTTCTTTTGTCTTTATTTTGGGTTAGAATGTGTAATTCAGCATTTTTTTTTGGCTTGACTAAAGTAAATTTATTTTGTTTTTTTTTTGTGTTTGTTTTGGATTAGAAGGTAATAATGTAATTCATAAATTTTTTGAGCTTTAGTAAAGCCGTTTTGATGTAAATTTTTTTTATTTTATTTTCTCTTTGTTTTGGGTTAGAATGTGTTATTCAGTAATTTGTTTGGGCTTTAATAAAGCCGTTTTTATTTAAATATATATATTTTTTCTTTTGTCTTTGTTTTGGGTTAAAAGGTGATAATGTAATTCATAAATTTCTTTTCGCTTTACTAAAGCCGTTTTCATGTAAAGTTTTTTATTTTTTATTTTTTTCTCTTGCCTTTGTTTTGGGTTAGAATGTGTTATTCAGAAATTTATTTTGACTTTACTAAAGCCGTTTTCATTAAAATAATTTTTTTTTTCTATTATCTTTGTTTTGGGTTAGAAGGTGATAATGTAATTCATAAAGCCTTGAAGAAAAAACACATAAGTCTCCCACAAAAATACATAGGTAGTACAGACATAAGTCTCTGACAACAATACATTCTGGACACCATGAACTGAACACACCATACATACATAAACATAACAGTTAGACAGACAAATATTAGCCAGACAATCTGACAAACTCATTACGGAAACACTTACTCTAACACAGACATTACATATTAATGCATGACCTAATATTGCCGAAGTATAGACATTAACACCTAATTCGCGCTTAAATCGGTAGGTGGCTCAGAGTCTGAATAATCCGAAAGTTCAGCGTCAGAGACAAGCTCAAGATCCTCCATGATACCCTTGATAGCCGCATCATTTGGTTCTGTTCTGTTCTTCTAGGCATCCTTCTTAACTATGTATAGCTGCATATCGCGGACTAACCTACGGCGCATTTGAGAAATCTCACGTTGTAGTCTTTCACATAGTCGATCAACATTATCAGGATCTTCCTTTTGGATCTCAACAGAACGTGCTTTTGGCACCTTCAATCGATTTTCCCGACATAATCTTTCCATTTGCACTCGTTCTATAAATAGTGCGGGCCACTTCAGAAGTCTAGCGTTTGCTAAACCATATCATGTTTGATTATTTGATGGTTCCTCTACCAAACCACATGGATCTCGATAGTACTTGGACATGACAAAATGTCGCTTCCCAAACCTATCATGATAAGCACAAGAGGCATCTAACAAAGTACATGGTGTTTCATCTTCAGCATCGCCACTTCCCCTTCTCCCTCCTCGTCATGAACTGTCACCCTTTTGCAAGTTCCTACCACCTCTGCGATTCCCACTCCCTCCCATGAATCATGTAACCATGCTAATTTTTTAAAACAAACGAATGATAATTTCGTAGGGCGAAATGAGTTGTAAGGTTGTGTCTTCACCTTTAGTCGTTTATATAGTTGGTTATGAACAGCTTTAGAAAGATGCCCCTGCATGACAATCCCACATATACGAACAAGGTATAAGTTGTCAGTAGAATGAAAAAACAGAGAAAAGGAAATACTGTGTACCAAGTCACGTGACTTGACAATCCATCTGCATATACCGACAAAGTAAGGGCTTGCTCACTGTAAGGTAAATAAGTTAATTCACTGTTGGCATGTGACTTCTGAATTGAGAATCACTGTAATAAAAAAATCGAGCAAAAAATCGATAAAACCAAAGCCTGTGCACCAAGTCACATGACTTGACAGTCCATCTGCATATACCGACAAAATAAGGGCATGCTCACTGTAAGGTAAATCTATGAATTCACTGTTGCCATGTGACTTTATGAATTGAAAATTCCACATATATCAATAAGAGATGAGTTGTCACTGTAATAAAAAAATCGAGCAAAAAATCGAGAAAACCAAAGCCTGTGCACTAAGTCACATGACTTGACAATCCATCTGCATATACCGAGAAAATAAGGGCATGCTCACTGTAAGGTAAATCAGTGAATTCACTGTTGCCATGTGGCTTTCTAAATTGAGAATCCCACATATATTAATAAGAAAGGAGTTGTCACTATAATAAAAAAATCGAGCAAAAAATCGAGAAAACCAAAACATGTGCACCAAGTCACATGACTTGACAATCCATCTACATATACGGACAAAATAATGGCATGCTCACTGTAAGGTAAATCAGTGAATTCACTGTTGCCATGTGACTTTCTGAATTGAGACTGTAATAAAAAATTAAGCTTATGTAGGCAATGTTGTGTTTCACTTAGCTATGCATCATTCGTTGTTACGACCAAACGTTCGTGTATTTGACTATTTGAATTATTTGTTGTCATTTGGATACAAGTCAAGTTTCTTACATTTTTTGCCTTGCGTTGATTGCTATTCTATTCTAGGAGAATCGTCAATTTCTTGAAAAAGGCGCAGAAAACAATCTGTTTGTGTATAATTAATTGTAAATAGTGATTTTCACAAGCAAATCAAGTAAAACCAATTGGGTTTTAAATTTAGTTCCCCAACTGGACCAACCACTTGGCTTTGACCTTGTTTGTCCAGCCCTCTAAGTTTAGTTATCTGTTAACCCCCCATTCCTTACCAGAGTCATCGTTTTGACTGGACTTCCAGGAATTGGAAGGCGACTCTTTCTTCTTTCCTGATGGAGGTTGAAATTCTTTACGTACAGGATCCCTATTTCACGAGCCCCAATTAAGGGAAGCTTTTCACCGAGCTACATGTTCTGTTTTATGTGTTGTTCAAGGCGGTAGTTTGTTTGTATGAACTTTATTAGTCCCCCAACTGGACCAACCACTTGGCTTTGAGCTTGTTTGTCCAACCCCCCAAGTTTAGTTATTTGTCAACCCCTCATTCCTTAACAGGGTCATCATTTTGACCGGACTTCCAGGAATTGGAAGGCGACTCTTTCTTCTTTCCTGATGGAGATTGAAATTCTTTACGTACAGGATCCCTATGTCACGAACCCCAATTAAGGGAAGCTTTTCACCGAGCTACCTGTTCTGTTTTATGTGTTGTTCAAGGCGGTAGTTCGTTTGTATGAACTTCATTTAGTCCCCCAACTAGACCAACCACTTGGCTTTGAGCTTGTTTGTCCAGCCCCCCAAGTTTAGTTATCTGTCAACCCTCCATTCCTTAACAGAGTCATCATTTTGACTAGACTTTCAGGAATTGGAAGGCGACTCTTTCTTCTTTCCTGATGGAGATTGAAATTCTTTACGTACAGGATCCCTATCTCACGAGCCCCAGTTAAGGGAAGCTTTTCACCGAGCTACCTGTTCTGTTTTATGTGTTTTAAGTATTCACATAATTCAACATACATTAATCCATTCATTAATCCAGAACATTCATTAACTCATTGCAATTCAATAAAGAAAGTCATGAACTAATAAATGTGCAGTTATAAATGTAGTTATTTCATACACTTCAGGTTCATAAAACCAATACTTGAAATACATCCGTACGTTAGATGAACAACAACATTGTCTTACACTCTAGTAACGAAGATATGAGACAACATACAAACATATATGAAAGATAAAGGTGTTTGATTTCTCATTCCTCATCTGACATGTAGTAGTCAGAGAGATATTTTTCATTATTTAAGACATTATTTCGCTCAATCACTGTCAAATCTCTATTGCTTGCTTCTGCCATTTCGGTGGCTAGCTGAAGCATGAAATATCGGCATCTCCGCATCAACATTATGTTGTTCTCCTTCTAAATTCTGCTAACTGCTTTTTCATAGTCACTCACATTTCGTCTAGCCATGGTCAATGAACGACGATGAGGTACCGGTGCCCCAAAGTTACGTAGATCATTATACAATCCTTCTTGCTCCGTTACCCTGAACGCCCATTCTGCTCGG